AGTCAATCTGTTAGGCTCTTCAACTGATTTATTTTTATCTCTTTATGCAATTTTTCACTTTTTTGAGCTTGTGAGTCAATGGTTTAAGAAAGCAAAAATAAAGGTTTTCTATTGAAAAGATTAAGGAAGTTATAATACAAACTTAGATGCTTAACATGATGATAGGCTAAGCATTGAATTTTGACTCATAATGTCTCAAAATTTCTCGGAGAAGAATGAAGCATTGTTTTTGTAATTTAATTACGTATTGATTAGCAAGTTATTGCTAACGTAAGAATAATTTGGTGTTTTCTGTATATATAATTTCACCATTTTCAACTAGAATGCACAATCTTCACTCTCTTGTTTGTGTTGTTGTTGTGTGTATGTCAAGGAAGTATTTTCAAACAAGCAAGTAGATTATGTAGCAATGTTTTATGCATTTCCTTGAATTCATCATCTATTTTATGGAGCCCCTATTCTCTTAAAGGAATACTAATTTTCTTTCATCTTCATCCCAAGACGAGAAGGATTTTTAAACGGTTTGTTAGCATTTAACCCAAAACATTTAGGAAACATTATAAGCTAGTAGCCACGTAGCTAATTTCCCATGTGGAGGACTTGTTTTCTTTATCTAACACCACCCCCTTGCAAGTGCAATCTAAATTTTGGTTAAAAGGTGGACTTGTAGATTAAGAGAACAATTATATTATTTTTGCTCCATAATTTTTTTTTCATATAATTTTTGCCTACCCAAATAAAATATCTTGGCCCCAAATATAATTTATATTAAAATTCATTTAGGACATATTTGATATAGATTATCTAAACATGGATTTTGTAAAATTGATATTTTTACGAGACGCTTCACATAATAGTTAAGGTTACGGCCCTGTTTGAGCCACATTAATTTTTTCATTCTCATTCTTCTACTCATTCTCAATCACACATTTTTCGATAAAATAATATTTTTCATTATATCAATAATTTCTCCTTCTTTTTCAACCACATATTCACCATCACATCAACAATAAAAATGCATTCTTTTTCCAAAAATGTGCACCAAACGGGGGCTACATGGAAAAATTATAAAATGTTGACAGAAGAATGAGGAGATTTTGAAAGGTACAAGTTTTTTAAACAAGAAGTCAACTTTATAATTTTGGTAGTTGAGAAAGCATGTGAAATGTTAAACAGCTAACTAAAATGAAAAAGAAAATTATAGATGTACGTCCACTAGTTGAGTGTATTAAAAATGAAAAGTAAGAGTTTAATTTCGTTAAAGAAGATGGAGACACCCCGTGGAACTATTACTAATTTCTCAACTGTTGATATGAAATGAAAGAAGGTGTTGTGACTAAATTGTTTGTCAAAGTAATTTTAGTCATTAGATGAAAGCACATGTCGATCGATCATCAACAATCTCTACAAGATATGAATGTTAAATTTGAATTTTGGTTGATGATAGATTCGCATTTGAATCAATTTAAAATTGAACATTGTGACCCAATCAAAAGGGTGCATATTTATATACATGACAACCACAAAACTCTCATCTTTTAAATCTAGCCTCTGTTTGGGCTCCACTAAAGTGAGATTTCGAAAAAAAGAGTGTTTTAAAATAATGATTTTTGAAGAATATATTGTTAAAAAAATAATATTATCTAGTATCAGTGATGTTAGAGTACTAGTTTAGGTTGTTACACTTTATATACTCAATTAAATGAGTAATTTGATTTTGTATTTAGATGAATATATTATTTATGGCGTGTTTGAGAGAGATTAAAATCGGATTAAAATTAAAAAAATTAGCCGTTGTTGTTGATTTTTATTAGACAAGTGGACCTAATAACAACTATATTTTCAATTTTAATTGTATTTTAAGATTAGCCAAACATGCTCTTAGTGTCATGTAATTGCTACTTAAATTGATGCTTAATACTAGAGGTGATAAATAACATTACTCGATTAAAAAATAAGGAATAATTTTGAATTTACGTGTAACATTATTTTATGAAAGAATGTGTAACTAAAAATGAGTTTTAAAAAAATAGAGTCCAAACATGGGCAAAAAAAATGAATTTTCATTTACCACTAAAATCTAACCGTTATGCAAAAGGAGGGAGGTGCCATTTCTTCCTTTTTGACTTTTGTTTTGTACCACATATAGAGTGAGAAGGTGCTTGGATCTTCTGCTGATTAATTGAAAGCAAACGATACCCTAGCAATATTAGATTAAAGTCACGGGTTAATTTTGGAATACATAACGCATACAGTCGATTGATGTTGACCATCAATGACTCCAAATGTTGAAAAAATCAATTTCAAAAGTTGGCAAGTTGCCTTTAAAGAAACCAAAATTGAGAGAAAAAAAAAAGGAGACTAGTTTTTCCTAGAAGGAAATAAAATTGGATGATCAAATTAGTTGTTGCAACGTGTTCTGTTACCTTTTGTAACTGAAGGAGAAGGGTGGGTCATTAATATTCAACTTTAATTTTCTTTTTAATGTCTCTATTAGCACTAAAATTATTGTTCAATTCTATCACGGATCTTAAAACATGAAGAATTGCTTAAATTATCGCATTAAGAACTATATAATTAACAATTTTGTGCTAAGTTATTCCCATCAGGAAAGGAAATTGTAAGTATATATCTTGCTTAGATGCTCTTTAAAATGGGTAGTGCTATTCATAATCAACAACTGTAATAGTCATCATACGTGACATAGCATTATTAAAAGTTATTAATTTTTTAAATTATTAAAATTATGACACTGAAGATGTCAACTATGTATTTATTGACTATGAATAAACATTATTGCTCTAAAATTTATTCGACAATTCAATTTTCTGCATGTTTGGGGTCTGGAGGTGAAATACAAGATACACGTACACGTTTTAACTCCTAGGACTAGGATATTAATGAAGGCTGACCAAAATTAAAAAGAAAATTGAAACTCAGTTATTCATTTGACAAATTAGCCCCGGTTTAATGAACATTATTTTGATAAAATAAGTTTTGAATATTTATTTTTTGGAAAATGTCTGATTAAATAATATGAAAAAAATTTAAATTTACGAGCAAAATAATTTATTTTGTAAATGTGGTTAAAAATGAGAACGACAATTAATTAATTTTTAAATAATGATTGTCAAAGCAAATTGACATAAAATTAGGCCGGCAATAAAATTTAGCGCGTAATGTGCAAGTGGGACAAGATTTTAGATTCAGCCAAACAATTTGGCGGGTTTCACAACCAGACCAGGTACAGCTCAACGGTACTCGTACAAAGCAATCAAAATGAATAATTGGCAAATTTCATCTGCGCTCACTTAACTTTCTGCAAATTTTTAGTTGAATCACTGAATTTTAATTTAGATCATAAAATTCAATTCAATCTCAATTTTCACAACTCTGTCAACAGAAATTACTCGTCACACTTTAATTAATCTTTCACGTAATCGTGGAATGACATGTCAACTCACCTTTGAGCCAAAACATAACAGTACTAAGAGCTTGTTTGGGAGGAATTTTTGGAGGAAAAATTGATTTTGAATAGTGATATGATGGGAAATGTTTTGTTGAAAAAGAAAAAAAATATTGATGTGATGGAAAATATCATTTTATTGAAGAATATGTGGTTGAAAATGAGTAGAAGAATGAAAATGAAAATTTTATTGTAGATCAAACCTGGGCTATATATATTATAACATGGAATTAATACATGATTTTTTGAAATAAATTGACAAGTTAATAGTGATATGATGGGAAATGTTTGGTTGAAAAAGAAGAAAAAATTATTGATGTGATGGAAAATATTATTTTATTGAAAAATGTGTGGTTAAAAATGAGAATTAATTTACTGTAAAAAAAATCTAAATCCCTTCCAAACAGGACCTAAAATAAAAAGAAACATAAAGATACTATCATAATCTCTCTCTCTCTCTCTCTCTCTCTCTTTCTTTTAGGGTGCCAGATTACAATGATTGGAAGATACATTACGATATGATTTCCAATTAAGCGATTTCAATTAGGGCGTGTTTGAATAATTTTAATTTTCATAAAAAATATCATTTTTTACCACAGTTCCTACTATTAGGGGGTTCGATTTAATTTTTTCCATGAAAAATAATTTTCAATAATTGGCACATGACCATATTTTTCTAATAAATAAAAAAAAAAATTTTTTGGGGAGGGGTTGATTTTTATTTTTCAGACAATTCTCTATTTCTCTAATCTACCCACAAATAAACGATAAATAAAAATATTTAATTAATAATTTTCATGTAAATAAGTTTTAGACAGTTCAATTTCTTAGAAATTATTTTCTTTCTCTACAAATTACATACTTATAATAATTAAACACACTTTCAGTTTAGAAAAGTAACATGACGAAATTAATGACCCAATTGAGACGAATTATAGTTTAATGACCCAATTGAGATTTGGTTGAAACCACAATGACCACGTGTAATACGTACCATATTTTATACCGAGGCATTGTTTGATTTCATTTTTTATTAAAATGAATTTTTTTTGAACCAAATATTTTTTATTAAAATAATATTACACGTAAATCAAAATATTTTCATTTTTTTAATTACGTATTTTCCATCAATTAACTATTCTAAAATATAAAGAAAGGCAAATATTAAAATCGGATTTCATCTATAAAAGTCTCAACCCGTAAGTGCCTGCTGCCTGCCTCTGCAACTTTTTGCTCTCATTTCAAGAAAACCTCCCTCTATTTCTCTCTCACACATATTCACATACACATTCATTGTCCAAAACAAGACTGATAAAATGAATAGATACATCTATAGATGCATACGTATTTTTCTCCATTGAGTATTTGTTTCACCCACAGAAAGCAAAGAGACGGATAGTCAGTCTTCTGTTAAGTTTGTCTTTTTGAACCCATTTTTCTCAGAAAAGGAAAAAACCAATTTTCAGGATTTTTTGTTGCCATTTATAGAAAGAGAGTGAGTTTTGAAGATTTTCTCACCAAAAAAATAGAAAAAATGGGAGAAAGAAGGAGGCTTTTGAGTTGCCTAATTTTTCTGGTTTTGAATGTCGTATGTGAAGGCAAAGGGGTACACAGAAATGCCTATGCTACCATGATGTATATGGGTACTCCAAGAGACTATGAATTCTATATAGCGACACGTGTCATGCTCAGATCTCTCGTAAAGCTTAAGGTTGATGCTGATCTTGTTGTCATTGCCTCCATGGATGTACCCCTCCACTGGGTCCAAGCCCTGTAAGTATTTATATTTATACCACTTATAAAATTGAGATCTGCTTTCGGTACACTAAAAATTCGATAGAAAGAGAGTATAATTTTTCTTGATTCAGACGAAAAAGGAGAAACTGTGAGTTTTCTGTTTGTGATTTTGGGTTGGAGATGACGGAGAGAAGCACTTTATTTTTGTGTTTATCTTTAACATTGCACTTGCAAGAATATGCTTTGGCTCTTTTTTTATTTTTTTTTTGTCCTCAAAAGAAAAGAAAAGAAAAGAAATTGATGAAATTGAATTGACCAATGGATCGATGCAATGCAATTTGGTAAGGGCCCCACTTTGTGCAGATATTTGTCAACTTCTTTTTAATTTTGACTTAATTATGAATTTTGAGTTAATTAAAAAGATTAATTTTGTCCATTGTTCTAAATACTAGACAGAAGAATTGGCGTTGTCTTTGGAAAAAAGAAGTGTTTGCTGTGGTTTTCGCTCAAGTGAATATTTTAGAAATGTATGGTAATTGAATAGGAAAGGAGTTTGCTACACAAACATCAAGATTGATCACATAATGTGCTCTTTGCCATTTGTGAGTTTAAAACACAATCAACTTTTTCATCCAATCTTCATTTTCGATATTCGTTTATGTACCATTTTTGTACAAGTAGCAAAATCAATAATAAAATAGATAAAATTATACTAAGACAGCTTCGTGATAAGTAGGAACTTAGGAGGAAAGTCCACCAACTCTTTCTTGAGTTGTTCCAGTCAATAAAAGTATTGCCTTTCTGCCAATTGGCCGTTCATCCAATCTTTTCTCTTCGATATCTGTTTATGTGCCATTTTGATGTACAAGTGGCAAAATCAATAGTAAAATAGATAAAATTATACTAAGACAGCTTCGTGGTAAGGAGGAACTTAGCAGGAAAGTCCACCAACTCATTCTTGAGTTGTTCCAGTCAATAAAAGTATTGCCTTTCTGCCAATTGGCTGGTTATCTGACTACCAATTTGGACCTTTTCTAACATATACAGATTTTTATTATAGGAGATTCTTTTTATTATTATTATTATTTTCGAAAACCCACATCTCCATTAATTCTCTTCTATTATCAGATTTGACACGAATAGGGTGGCCTTTGCTAGAACAAATAAATAGAATTCTTATTTTGTTGTTTCTTTCCATCGACCCCAAAAAAAAAAAAATGAAGAGACTTGCGAGATCACCATCATCAATGAGATAAAATTTGTGATTTAATAATTGATGGTGTGGGATATTCTATTGAGGATAATTTAAGATTCTTATAAAAAGTAATTTTGGACAGGTGATGTGTTGTCACTAATAATAAATAAGCAGGTTGATCATTTCATACATTACCACATAATTAACTATTGCCGGCATTTAAGCTGTCACTTTGTCAACTCTTATTTTTTATTGCAATAATCTCTTTTGCATCTTCAGATTGTGGCATCATTTTTCATTTTTTTTGTCCACAAAAAAACTTAAGATGGGATGAAAAATGCTCTTAGAAGAAAGGGGTGAGGGATTAGAATACATAGTTTAAATAAATAAGTCTCGCTTTTCTTTTCTTTTTTCTTTTTTTTAGTACCGGGCTTCAGACAAGATAGTTTAGCCCCTGTTTGAGCTCCTGTCTCTAAATATTCATTTTCTTTTCTAAATTTTTTTTCGCCCACACATTTCTGTAGACTAATTTTGCACGTAAACTAAATTTTTTTCCTACTTTTTAACGACACATTCTACGAAAAATAACTATTATAAAACTCATTTTTCACAAAAAAATGGTGCTCAAACAAAGTCTTAATATTGTCTTAGAACATAAAGATGTCTTTGAATTCAAGTTTTTTTAGTCACTCATTTGAGAAAACTGATGAATCCAGCCTACATGTGGAGTCGAGTACATAATTTCTACAAGTAAGTTTATAATCCCTTATCAAACTTCTTGAGCTTTTAGATGAGGTTGGTATACAGTGAGGTGAAGGGTTAAAGACTTAAAGGTGTTATTCTTTCTTTGCTGAGGTATAAATTACTTTTATTCTTGGAAAGAACTTGTTGAAGTTGCTTTATCTATGAGCTAAAAGAATAATAAAAGAAAAAAAAAAAAGGAAAAAAGGTCCTTTATCACTACTTGGTGTATGATTATTGAATAAAGAACCTAAAATTTCTTCTTGGTGGCATGACATGGACTAGTTATCCATAGTACAAAGAAACAAACAGCTAGTTATTTGAGAATTCATTTTCACATATAATCAATTTGGATGAGATCAGATTATGTTTTTAAATTCAGTCTTCAACCCATCCCTTCACGTGCAAGCCGGATTCATTATTCAACAAGGCTTGGCATGTGTACAATATTCATAAATGGATGGTGGTGACTTGAACTTGGTTTTTTGCCTACTTTGATACTATGTTGATCCATCAAGTCTGAAAGCTTAAGCTAGTAGAGAGGGGACACAATTATTTCCATAAAATCAGTCTTCAAAAATAGAGTGATGATTGATGTGTAGTTTATTAGTATATATTGTGTGTCAGCGTCTGTATCTATACATCAAGCTTTAGAATTCTGAAATCAATATCAGAAAATGAATTAATGAGTTCTCTTTTTCGTGGTCCAGTGAACAGGAAGATGGTGCACAGGTCATGAAAGTCGAAAATCTGAACAATCCTTACAGAAGTCAGTCGAACTTCGATTGGAGATTCAAGCTAACACTGAACAAACTTTATGCATGGAACCTAGTGGACTACGACAGGGTGGTCATGCTTGACGCCGATAACCTCTTCATCAGAAATACTGATGAGTTGTTCCAGTGTGGTCAGTTCTGTGCAGTATTTATCAATCCCTGCATCTTTCACACTGGCCTCTTTGTGTTGCAGGTAAAAATACTGACAAATATGTGTTTCCCTCAATGTTTTCTTGTTTCTTGGAGCACGACTGTTATATACTGGGCAATTTCGAGCACACAAATTGATGCAGCATCTATCATTGTTTTTGTTTGTAATTTTTTAGTCAAAACCAAATGCTATGTTTAATGATCGAGATAAAAGGTTATTACAAGTCCATTAAGGCCCTCTCTTGCATCTATTACATATGTTCTTCAAAATCCTTATGAATCTTAAATTGCAGCCATCAAAAGCAATATTCAATGACATGATTCATGAACTGGAGGTCGGGAGAAGTAACCCTGATGGCGCAGACCAAGGTTTCATTGGAAGCTACTTCCCTGATTTACTGGATCGACCCATGTTTCATCCTCCTTCAAATGGTACAAAGCTTGATGGAGCATATAGACTTCCTCTAGGCTATCAAATGGATGCTTCTTACTATTGTAAGTAAATAACAACTCAGATGTTTCAGCAAAATTTAAAAGCCAATGTTCTTATTTCTCACCATATTAAATTTCTATTTGGCATAGATCTCAGACTTCGGTGGAGTGTTCCTTGTGGACCAAACAGTGTTATTACTTTCCCCGGTGCCCCTTGGTTAAAACCCTGGTATTGGTGGTCATGGCCCGTCCTCCCACTCGGCATCCAGTGGCATGATCAACGGCGTCAAACTCTTGGGTAAAGTTCTTAAGCCAAATTTGTACGAGTTCTTAAGTAGACCTTATATTTCATCCCTATTCGTGATTTTAATGTTTCATTATTTTTTTGTTACTCTTCTTACCTACTTCTGAAGTGTTCTAAGAAGTCTTTGACTTGCTTGTTAACAGGTATAGTGCAGAGCTGCCACTTGTATTAATCGAGGCTGTATTTTACCTAGGAATAATGGCTGTGGCGCGTCTAGCACGGCCCGACTTATCCAAATTATGCTATCGCCGAGAAGAGAAAAGTATTTTCTTCATGCAGACTGGCTTCAAATTGATTGCTATATGGTCCATTCTTGCTGCCTACATAGTCCCATTCTTTCTCGTTCCCCACACCATTCATCCACTCATAGGGTGGGGTCTCTACTTGCTGGGGGCCTTATCACTTTCGTGCATAGCAGTTAATGCTTTTCTTCTACCAATTCTACCCATTTTAACACCATGGCTCGGAATCTTTGGGGCCCTTTTGGTAATGGCTTGTCCTTGGTACTCAAATGGCGTTGTACGGGCACTTGCTACTTTTGCCTATGCGTTCTGCTGTTCGCCTGTTCTGTGGATGGCGTTCGTTAAAATTATGTCATGCCTTCAAGTTTCACTTGAAAGGGAAGCATTTTTGCCTAGATTGGGGGAAAATTCGTCACCCTCGGGGTTCAACAAGTTGTATTGAGAATCAGCCTCTGCTCATTGTATGATTGTGATTGCACTACAGATTTGTGGAGCAAATATCCTTATCTTGTAGCTGCATATTCCCAGCTTGAGATAAGAGGAGACTGTAAACATACTGCTGCTTAAATCCGCTGTATGCATATGTACACAGAAGCAGAATGGATTCATTAAATTTGTTCTCGCAGCATCTACTGAATGCAGAATTTATCTAGTGCCTACTGATTGCTTGATTCTCATCATTGAAATTCTTAAAGAACTTTACTCTCATGTTACGTGATCGTTTGATTTCCCGCAAGTGTATGATATTGCGAACAAGGAATAAAATAATGAATAAAGTATTGTTCCCACGATGACTATGTACTTAATCTAGTATCAATTAATGTTAACTTTAATCTAATAACAAATTTTGTTGAAGCATTTATGATAAATTAACTAATTAAACTAATTATTTTATTGAACAATTTAAAAAGTTTTCGTAAATTTAGATGTGATATTATTAAGACCTTGAAATCCCCTTATTAATCTATTTCAATGCAAATCAATAACTGACAATGTGCACATTTTTGTTGATTAATGTTTTTAAATTAATTAAAAGCATCTATCAATGTCAATTGAATCTATTCTTGTATGTGACTTTTTAATATTTTTTATGAAAGATGCGAATATGAAAATATGCATTAAAAATACTAGAACATCAATAAAAATCATGCAAAGTATAGCGATATAGTTCTATCTCCTATTGGATTTTACAATAATTGTTATAAAGTGCTATCTATCCTATTGTTTTTCTCAAAATCAATCAAATTCACAATCAATCCATTTAGTGATCAAGTAATTGAAAAGTCATTAAATTCTATAACAATTATTCAAGAATAAACACATTGAATATCAAATTATCGAATTTATATTAAAATATAATAATAAGGGTTCATCAATGTCTAAGTAATTAAAACCCTACCCTAGCATTACAAAATCACAAGAAAACATGTTTAATTGGAAGAAATCTTGAATATCTTCAATTATTTCTTGATGAATCTAGAATATATCTTCTGGCTGTCTCTCCAAAAATTAAGGTTGAAACTCTAATTTCTTGAAAACTTGTAATTGTCATTTAATTCTCATAAGAACAATGGATTGTTATCTCTTTGATGATGTTAATTAATGAATTTTGGTGTATGAGATATAGATGAGAGGTTTTCTAATGTACTCTACTGTTAGGTATTAATAGGAGCCAAAAATTAGGTTGAAAATAACGACCAAATTAGTTTCAAAAGAGTTCAAATCGAATAAGAAAAGTCGTCTTCAGGTGCGCATGTTTTTATTTCTGCACAGTCGTCTGTAGTTTTGTCATAATTTTCTCTTCTGATATCCGATTAAGGCGATTTAAAATATGGCGGAAAGATAACTCAAAGGACTACGACTTTGCTAGAATTGAAATATTTCCAATTCGAATGTTTATTATGCAAAAAATGGGTTTCCAATATTTAACTAAAAATCTGAAATATAACTTATGCGATTGAAAATTGATTTGTGAAAATATTTTGATCATATTTCATTCATTTTTGACTTCTAATTGTATCATTGGACTCCTAGCAATCTTCAAAGTACCTTATCGTGGTCCAAATTAACTATTTGATATTTGCAATTTGGTCATCAAACTTTGGACGTCGCCATTTTTCGTTCATTTCTTATAATTTCAAGTCTATTCATCGAGTTTCTCCTAATAAATGAAATACACACACGATTAAACTATAATTTATCAAAAGAACAATGAATGTCAATATTTTAAAACCCGTATAAGTGTATAAAAATACACTTATCAAATACCCACAAACTTAAATATTTGTTTGTACACAAACAAAACTATAACCTACCTTAACAAACAAACAAATATGCAACAAAATTTTAGTTAGATAACCTGCCATTTTGTCTCAAGATTAAAATCATTATATTAAATTTATAAACGACTTCAAGGTCACAGTATCAAATTCAATATCCACTTCTCCAATGCAAAACTGATGTGTATGTGTGTGTGTGAAGTATTAAGTCAAACATCATAAATTAACAAGTTGTTTCAATTCCCAACCCTCGTGGTCAAATTTTTCATTTGATCATTCGTAAGATTCACATACTTTTCAAACTTGTTCTTTTTTACTCTTTTCTCAGTATGTGATCTAATATTGAATTATACTAACTCCTCACTTTCTATAGTTTAGATAGATCTCACTAATTGAAAGTCAATACTTCAACAAATAAGAATTCTCCAAATTTTGATTGCTTCAACCTCCAAGACTCAATTAGGTTAATAATCTGTTATGGGTCTTTTGGAGCCCTCCACCTCATTCACCCACATCATCGTCCACGTATTGTACGAACCAATCTGGTATTGACACGTGGCAGACAAACTAAATGCATGTAAGACGAATTGATTCCATAAACCCCGAACTGAGACACTGCCGCCCCACCTCGTAGAAGAGTCGAACTCATCCGCCATTCACGACAGGTGGTGCAAAGGCCGGCACTTCATGTTCTCTCCATCTCACCACTTCTCTATCAAGATCATTTTTGGGATCTTCAGTCAAGTTCTTGACTGATTGATGAGACGTGTGGCAGACTACAAACGGTCAACTCAGCTGAAATGTCATAAATCATTTAATGCCTGCAACCTACGGATGAAGGATTGACATCTATGAGATGATGACTCACATGGGATCTGAAGCCACGTGTCCCTTCATCCAAAGGACCACATCTTCCCTTTCCTAGTATAAATACCCCCTTACTGGTAAGAGAGGGGGATGGGAATTTGGTTAGCTTTACATCCTAACTTTCAACACACACTTAAACATTCTGGTGACCACCTCGCAGCCGGACATAATTTCCTGATTAGTTGAAACACTGACTTGACCGTCGGAGTGCTCGTGACCGCTTCCAACCCTACCGGAAAAGGTCAAGAGTGACTAATGGTGTGCTATTATTGTGCCCAGGGAGAAGTTGACGTAAAGACTTATCCTGTTGACCATGTGTTCGAGCCATTTTTGGTCAACAGATTGACGTCGTTTGTGGGAATCTACTTAACCAAGAGTATTCCCTCGAAAAAGCTTGTTTGATTACCCGATTGATATCCTCCCTTGAAAAAGGGATTGATTCTTGAGAAAGAATCAGAAGTTACATAAAACTGCACTCTTGGCAAGGATACTCACTTCGAATCATGAGTTCCAATTACGAAGATGTAAACCCAAGGAGAACAACGGATGTCTCTGAAGAAGAGATTATCCGAACAAATGTCACGCAGCAGCGACCCCACCATCGATATGCAGGGACGGTCGAACTGCTGCACGATTAACTACCAAAATGGCCCACATGACCGCCAACATGAGGGCCATATATAAATGAAGTGGCTGGGACGTTTTTAGAGGAGAAAAAAATAATATATTAGATTTGGTAGATTAGTTAGTTTAGTTTAGTTTTAGTTTTTATATTTTTTTCTCTCTTTCTCTCTTCTACTTCTTCCTTTTTCTTTTCTCTTCCTTTTCTTTTGTGTTGATCTTGGCTTGTTTTTGGAGAAGAAAGATCGAGAGCAAGGAGATCAAACCTCAAGGAAAACTTGGAGATCCATTGGAAGGATTCAAACTACACTAAAAAGGGTTTTATCTTTACTTTTGAATTCCTTTATTAATTTCCAAGTTTGTAATGTATTGTATCATGAATCTCCTTTGTTACAATCTTTATAATATGAGCTAAGACTTTGTGTTGAAATTTATGAATTGAACTTAACCTAATTGTTTCATTGATTATCGATATATCTACATGTTTAGTGATAAATGCAGTTGTTATCAAAATCATAGTGTATTGATCAT